CGCCCCCCTCGGCCGCCGCCTGCCACTCCTCCCAGCTGCTCGCAGGTCATCTCCACCAGCTGCTCTGCTGGCCACCTGTGCCCACCGGTCGTCCCCACAAACCGCTCTGCTGTCCGCCCGCGCTTGCCAGTTGTCCCTGCAAACTGCTCTGCTGGCCACCTGCGCTTGCTGGTTGTCCCCACAAGCTGCTCTGCTAGTAGCTCAGCAGTACAGCATCAGGCTCCCCACAGCACTAGTGATTTCAGCTCTTCAACAAGTTCAGCTCATAACAGAGGATCCTCAGTGTTAGTGCTCCACTGGCCCACAGTAAAGTCAGCTCAGCAGCTCGCAACTAGACTCCTAATGGAATCCAAATTAGCTCTGATATTCCACAATGGAGAAAGGAGGGGGTGCAATCAGTGTTGTTTAGGCCCTCAGACAGGGCCCCACCACCAAGTACAAGGACCTGTCCCCAGCTTCTCTCAATATGACTGGGTTTGGAACCCATGCCCCTTGTGTAGCGAGTGCTACTTAGTTTATGGCTAATCCCTCTGTCATAAACAGTTCCACCATTCCATTGTCCTTGATTCGCGTAATCAGGGTAACAACACTTTTATCCCCCCTGCCTCAATAACAGAGAGACTGGGGATCCCACACTGGCCAAAGTGACCATTTGGGCTGCTGTGAGCACATACTAGGTGGGGAGGGTGTGTCTATGCAAATTGGGTGTATCTATGCAAATGAGATCAGCCCCTGAAGTCTCTTTGCACCACTCGCCACAGTTCACCACCACATGTCAAGGTAGAGCTTATCCTGACCCTGTTTACACACTTTGGCTGCGTCTAGATTGGCATGATTTTCCAGAAATGCTTTTAACGGAATAGTGAAGAGGGGACAGCCAGAGACTCCAGCTAGCTGGGATGGAAGCAAACAAAGCACCCCCTTAGGTTTTTGGAGAACTTTCTAGTTTTAACTGAACTTTTTTCTCATCCTGTGCTATTGTTCCAGCCCTCCTCCTCCAAAATCTCTTCACTTCAGCATCACTCATCTTGCCCTCATCTTCCCTATTCCTCTTACTCTCTTCCCTTTCCTTGAGCTTATCCGTTCCTCCTAACTCATCCCAACAAAAGAAAATCATGGAACTAGCATGTGTTTGTAATTGCTGTTGTGGTTGTGCGAGCCGCTGTCTCCGCCACATCTAGGGTGATCTGAAGACTTGCTTGAGCTGCCACAAAACTCTCTACTACCTCCAATTTTAAAAGAGGCCGCTTGGAATCAGGGAGATATTGGAGCAACTCTGCAATCTTCGCATAGTTATCAAAGTTGTGATTAGATAACAAAGGAGCATAATTAGCGATGCGCAGGAGAAGGGTTGCTGAGGAATAGACCTTCCTGCCAAATATGGCCAATTTCTTCAAGTCCGGCAACAAACTCGTATATTGGGATGTTTTGACACATTGTTGTGCTGCATCAACTACTAAAGAGTTAAGCTGCAGGTGATTGAAGAGAAACTCCAGACTCTTGGATGGGACGAAATACTTCTTGTCTGCTCGCCTGCAAGTAGGTGCAACTCATAGTCTTGAAGGCCAGAAGGGACCATTATGATCATCTAGTCTGACCCCCTGCACAATGAAGGCCACAAAATCTCACCCACTCCCTCCTAGAATAATCCTCTCACCTATACCTCATATTGAAGCCTTCAAATAGTTTGAAGACCCCAAGATGCAGAGAATCCTCCAGCTGTGATCTGTACCTCATGCTACAGAGGAAGGCAAAAAACCTACAGGGCCTCTGCCAATCTACCCTGGAGGAAAATTCCTTCCCGACCCCAAA